ACAACTGAGTGAGTTATTCCACCGTACCTTGTCCTGATGGACTGAGACTAACTCTGATGATAGACACTAGTCATAGGACTCAGCTGAATGCACTTCTGTCTTCCTAGCAATGGAGGGGCAAGCGCCCTGGCTCCTGAAAGCAAAATTTAGAAAAACGGGAATGGCCAGCGGTTGAGAATATTCCTATGACAAAATGCTATAAAAGCCAAAACAGCAACCAAAGAGCTTACAAAAGAGTTAAATAGAGTATACTAAAACAAAAGGACAGCTCAAAGTGGCTCCCACAGCTAGAATGGATGGATAAAAGAGAAGATTGTTTAGCCTGTCTTTCCCTCCAAAAATCCGCCATTTTACCACCAGGCACCACTCTGGGTGCGCGTTAATTAGAATCATTAGAATCATTTCGGTGCAAAGGTCCATTGATTTCACCCACGTGCGAGTTTGTATGTATGTCCACACTTACATTTCTTCTATACATAATAATTGTATTGGAGAAATAACAAAATTCATAAGCCTTAGCAACCACCCGCCGACGCTCCTTTACGTAGTGGGTGTGGTCACGGCAAACAAAATGCTTAAAAAGAGCTTTCTAACAGCAAGATAACATAGACAGGGGCGTATCTGAGGGGGGCCTACAGGGGCCTGGGCCCCCCATCAATTGTTGTAGATAATGATATTCATTGTTTGTTTTCATGTCCAGCAATGAGTGGACGCGGATTAGTATACTGAGCAATTATCTCCGTATACTACTGGTTGACTTTATACAGGGCAGGAATGGACATTTCCATTTACTAGGCTATATCTTTCTTCAGAATAAGTCTCATCAATTTGCGCACTTCAGTAGCTGTTCTCCATAATTATACCTGTGTTCCTGCTAAATATGACAGCACTTGGAGTAACTTTGTGTGGAACATTTGCAGATTAAAGATGAGGCAGTCAGTGCCGCCATTTTGTCATTCCTTTATGTATGTATGATAATTTTTTTACTTTTTGAATGGTTATATCTAAATTTCAAACAATTTTTGTCATTTTTTGACAAATTGCGCACTTATTTTGTGAAAGTACAGCATTTTTACTGCCCAATCATGCAAAAAAGATAAAGAAATTCAAAACTTTGTTCTGTACTTTAGTCTTCTAAAGGTGAAATAATTTTAGTCGTCTCAGCATGGTCTCAGTGATAACGGGTGCAGCAACAAGAGTGAACAAGTGCTTTTCTCTTCTCACGGGAATAATAAAGTAAAACTAAGAGTGCTTAACAGCTATACAAGCAAATCATGTCTCTAGATCCTTTTAAAGTAATAACAAGAAGGTCTTTTGTTAGTGGATGAGTCTTCTTGCGCCACGCCTGCCACTTTAACAATAGAATATGAAAAAACTACCATAACCAATTGCATTAAGTAGCATTCAAGAAGCTCCAAGTATCTAGTGAAGTCCCATCCATGAACCAGAAAGACGTTAGCAGGCTTTGTAGTGAAGCTTCCTATCAATCCACCATTGCTGAGCTGCCGTTGCTATGGTAATTCCAATGAATATCATTAAATTAATGCGACCGGAAGTCCCATTGCAATAGCTGGACATGTGTAGTATTTTTGCTATTTTAATTACACCTTTAATTTTTTCAGAAAAGATTGTCACTCCTGAAAGAAATGAGGTAGCTATGTCACCAGCAAGCACTGACAGAGCAACAGGTAATAATAATATTGCCTCCTTTTGATGCATACATCAAACACATCACTAATGACATCATCTAATAATGCCAATTGCAACTATTTTATCATTTAGGTATGTCCAAATATGGTTCTTCTGAAAAGAGCTTTGAATTAAGTAGCAAGTTATATAATCTACAAGATGAATTTGATGAGGCGATTCGAATAACAAAAAAATCATTCAAATCAACTAATGTACCTGAAATCCTTGACTACCTCATTACACACACAATGTCATTACTTGGCCCTATCAAGAAACAGCAAACAATTGCTAAAGCAGTTAGGGAAGAGTTTCAAGATATCCAAACATTATCAGAATTATTCACTGTACTACAAGACAAATACATGTCGTGGTTCAACTATAAACTAACGATAAAACTTGTTGAAGTGTTTCTACCCAAAAATCATTCATTAAAGAGAACTTGGTCAGCATATGAAGAGAAGTTAAAGGATTATTTTATAAACAGTGGTGGACTATGAAAGATGCTGATG